TTCATATAGAAAGAACTGTTGCAACACAATTCCTCTCAGAGGGAGGAGGGCTGCAGGGATATAATCACAGATGTAAGACCCATGTTTTCCAATTCTAATGCTCATTTTGGCAATTGTATTCCTTGTAGCTAATTTAACAATATTTCTTGTTGTAAGATTACAAGTGAATTGAGCAATGCGAGAATAAAAGCACCATATATGTCCTAATTGTTATTCTGCTATCTTTTAACAACATAGTGGAATGTTAATAGTAAAAAGGAATAATTCCAGAAATGCTTAAAAAAAAGCCCTTTCAATTATGTAAATCACCCTTAGCTAAGACTCAGCAGCCCAAAGAACCTTAAAAGGCAGTAGTAGATAAGGACGGGCGCGCGCGGTGCTGCCCTGCTCTCTGCCGGAATGCGGCGCGTATGGAGGGTATTACTGCATTTAATGAGCTAAAACCCTCCAGAATAACAAGCTGCAGAAATAACATTGGGGACGTTTCTTTAAGTACTATATGATTTGCTTTGGCCTGGGGATGAAAGGGTAACTTCAGTTAACAGTATTACTTGGTTTCTGTGGTCCAGCTAATAATCACTCCAATGCTAAGAGCAGTGGTAAAGACAGCAAGAGCATCAGTTAGCGTGAAAGCATGCCGAGAAGTGTTTTCAGTAGGGAGAGGAAACAGCTGTTCCTCATGTTATTCTTCGTGAGGTTATGTAGATATAGAATAAAAAATGTCTGTTGGCCAGTAATTCTAGTTAGGAAAGCATTTAATGACTTTTGCAAGTAGGATTTTTAAAAGAAAAAAAATTAGCTAAAACTTCATATATTAGCTTGAGAAAATATGACTTTGAAAAGTTCTTGGATGACTTTACAGACTCAAAAAAAAATCTATTAACATATTGTGTTTCAGAAACTGATCAAAGAGAGTATTATAAAATTCCCTGTGGCAATACTGCTAGGGTCACAAATGCACTTGGAATTCATTACTGTTATTCAGAACGCCAAAGCAGAGAAAGAAATTCATCACGGTTGGACTTGGTTAGGCTTTTGTTATTGCAAGTACAGTAGCAGGGAGGATGAATGGTGCTACAGCAGCATTAAATCATGCTAGATAGCTATTTCTCAGAGCAAAAATTTTGCAATCCTGAAAAGCTCCTTCCTATCCCCACCTCAAAAATCTCCTGCCCAAAAGACAAACGTTTTAAAGAAAAATATACTTGCTCCTATTCCTAGAAGACACAAATAAGAGACAATAATATTAAGAAAATTATACATAAAATTAATAGGTGCAAATATTAAGTTTGTTTTATTCTCCCTGCCCACAGGGAATGTGTGAGCAATGTGCATCCTTCCATGACAGAGGAATCAGTAGAGGGAAGAACATCTCTATTTTACCAGCTTAGGAGTAAAAGCCAACAGGTCAAGTACACACAAAATAAAAACATCTAAACTTGCAATCCCCTGTTCCCACAAGATAGGGTTTAGAATCAGTTTATAATGCTGTGAATTAACCTTTTAATAGATATACTGAGCTTGAGACCTCACAAATCCAGTAGAAACGTACATTTATTTTGCCATCTTTTCATTACAATCATGTTAACTTATGAAATTGAATTTAAAGAAATGACATAATAAATCATCCAGATAGGTTGAGTTTCCTGCTGCTACAGTTATGGTTTATGGTACCCTAGGTATAACATATTTTTATAATTAATTATATAGATTCTAGCAGCTGCTAGGTGTGAATTTTATAAATGCTTAGGATGAGCTGACTTAGAAATCTGATATTTTGAGATTGTAACAACAAATTAGTAGTAGTGAAAAACTGCCCTGAAATCAGTGAAAAACTGATACTACAAAAACAAAGCCAAACGCATATGCTTACATCTAAGGAATGGCTATGTTGTAATATATTTGATTTATAGTAGTTTTATAACACACACTCCAAAGGAGAAAAGCCACTTGGATGGTTTTATTGTGTTTTTTTACTCAGAAAATAAACTTTTTTGTTACTTAGGTGAGTATACTTATTTACTGGTACTCCTCATTCTCTGATAATTAAAGGGTGTGTAGGTATCTATTCCCAGTCATCCAGCCAAAAGGAATCCTGAATCTCTGCTTTCCCAGAGTTAACTTGTATTTGCGTGGTGTGTCAGATTTTAGGCAGGCCTGCATTAATTGCTAGTGAGCCTGAAGAAGTAAATAGATGACACTATTTTAAGCATGTTTATTTGCTCCTATAGGTGCTTGCTCACAAGTATGCTGAACTAGCTTTTTGTGTCAGGCTAGAAAGAAACTTAATATTGCAGAGACTACACTGTTTTCCAGAAACTTGAATAGAAGCTCTCCAGAAGGCCGTTTATCAACGAGACCCATCCTGAACAGACAGCCCTGAAGAGCACAGCAGGTGCAGTGATCAAGATGGGGCTTAGTTAACAGCAGGAGGCAGAGATAAGTAAACTCCAGTCTGTCTTTTTTATTACAGAAATTTGTAAAAGAAGAGTTTTTATACTCTTTACTGAGATACTAAGTGCTTTTCAAATTGTTTATGTTTTTGTCGTTGTGAGTAACAACATTCATATGTCTTTTTAAAAAGGAATGGGTACAATAAAATTGCTTGTATTTAACAGTCGGTATCTTAACGATATACGTCAGAAACTCAACTCTAAAGCAAATACACAACATGAAAGCTAAATAAGGAATAAAACCAAGATACCCAGACATCAAGAAGAACAGAATAGAAAAGATAAGTCACTCCAGTGTGGAATAAAGTAATAGAGACAACATGGTATGAAACTGTAGAAACCTGAGGCAAAATGGCTTAAGGAACAACATGTAAGCTGTGAAACTAAAGTCTGGGGGTTTTTGGATATGAATCCTGCATCTCTTTGCAAGCAGCCCCGTGTCCTTGCTGGCACCTGCGCCACCTCAGCTGCTGCAGCCCCGGCCGTGTCTCGCCATCCGGCCAGCCTGGGGGCACGACACACGAGGAGCTGCTCATCTCCAAGGAAAGCGTTTTCCTCAGGGAACTCTGTCTGGAGCCACAGAGCACCTATCTCTGGAGTGAGTTCTGCCTTGTACCCAACTGCTGATATTTCCAGAATTGGTAGAGCCTTACTGGAGACATTTTAGGCTTCAATTAAAACTGGCTTAAGCAGACCAGTGCATTCAATTGTAACTAGGGACTGCTGACAACCAGAAAGACAGCACGCTGAGTGAGCTTTGCATCCATAAGAAACTGGGCTTTCTGTGGGTACAGACAGAGACCCTGCACAGGCTTGACCCTTCTTTCCTGCAGACAAGCTGTCCTGCGCCTTGACACCGACAAGAGGAGGACAGGCAAGTGGCAGCTCAGCTGCGGGGCCTGGCGCTGACTCCCTGCCCTCTGCTGCGCCACCACAGAGCTAAAGCTCTGGGCTCACCCTGCCGCACCCAATGTTTCTGACCGAGTATATCTGCTGCTCTTAAATTCAGCTCATGTAGAAAACCCTTAAAAACAATGAAGTTAAGGCAAAAACAGGCAGGGATGTTATTTTTTAAAAAATAATTCCTATAACAATTTGAAAAAATACTTTATTTTATATTAGCATGAATTATTAGTGTGTTACAAATGTTGGCTAAATCCTTAAAGCTTACTGGCCTAACATTAGACACCTAAACCCATATATAAACACACATGAATACAGAAGTACACATGAGAATATGTTTTTTTCAGTCACCTGGAATGTATCTCTGGACATCTATATTTTTCCTTTATCTTTTCTGAGGTGGAACAAACAGTTCTGAGCACACCATACACTGACTTGGAACTTAACATATCTGCATGTTTTCCCCTAACTTATTACTACTGTTTTAAATAAATGCTATAATTAGCATTGTATATGGTATATAATTAGTACTGAATTGTTCTAATACAGCTATTAATTCTGTAAAAAGGTACACAGCTTTCCCAAGAAACTATGCCAGGGCTTTTAACAGCGAGTTTAATTTGAATCTAGAACTACAGCTCACAAGATAGATGCAGAAAACTACTATATTGTGAAAGAGCAGGGAAGGGGTGACTTGACGATGTGCATACCCTGAATATAGTTTAGCTTGGGTGTTTGGGAATGTTGGCGAAGTGACAGTGGGTCCCTTATGAGACAACGGTAATAAGAGTAATAGTCAGAACAAGTTAGACCAATGGAGCATTCAGTTCAGTAATCTGTGCCTTCAGAGAGCCAAGAGTATAGATGTAAGGAGGCAGCATCAACATAAAGAGTTTTCTTTAAACACTAACCACTGTGTGGACTGTGGCCTAATGGATTTTTTTTGAATTTGCTTACTTAGCTTTTGGACTCATTTGAACTATGGCATCCACAATATCTTGTGCAATAAGATTTCTTGCTAAACTACAAGTTACAAGACCTGCTTCCTTACATTGGCTTTGACCCTGTCACCTAATGGTTTTATTTGATACCCTGTGGTTTTGGTATTTTGAGAAAAGATATAAAGCCACACTCTATCGTCTTCATGTTATTTATGATTTTACAGACCTCAGTATTACTGACGCTCAGTACCCATGATGCTACCCAAATTATCATCTTTACTGAATGCTCTGTTGATCCTTTCTTGTGGAGCTACAAGATTCTAGTTAGATATTTCTAGTTAGATAATTGTTTCTACCTACCAAACTTGCACAAGAAGTCCATTGCTAGAAGCTCATGCAATTTCATGAGCTGATGATATTATACGCAATAATTTTTTAGGCTGGGTGAGATATATCAACTGTTGAAACACACTTTGCATAGAACAGAAAAAAAGAAAAAAAATGCAGTTGCAGTGTTTATAATAAATATGAAATCTGTAAATTAAGAATGGAAAGTTGCAGTTTTTTCCCCCTTTGTAACCTGGAAACACTGTTCAATGAAACAGTCCCATTTCGTTTGTACACTTCTTTTAATCTCTCTCTAAGCTGCTGAGAAGTATTTACAAATCAGGCCACGTGTATTCTTATTTTGAAGTTAGCTTACCTGACCCATTTTTCAGGTATCCATTAGCGTCTACGGTTGTATACATGATATAAGGACCAGGCTGATTAACACCAAAAGGCTACAAGAAAAAAAAAGAAAGGCAAAATATTATATTTATTTCTTGGACTTTAGGAACAGACAGAGCTATATGAATAAAACAGTAAACCAAAGAGAAACTTATATTTTTGTAATAAGGGTAATCTGTTGGCTAAGTAATGTTACTGTAGTTGTCAGTTCTTATCTAAATATACTTTAATACACCAATACAAAGCTGTCTAAAACAGGGTTGCTTTCAGGATGGGAAATAATAATAATAAAAAAAATCAGTTAACAAACAAACCAACCAGCACGCTGCTAACACCTCAGCACTTTAAAATACCAGTATTAGCTTGAGAAAGAAACATAGGAAATATATATTGTGTGTATTTTGCCTTACACTTAATTTGGAAGGTGAAAACAAAGATTATGAAGAGCACCAAGGCTCACTGGCTCCCTTAGGGGGGAAAAAAATCAATTACAATCAGACAACTCTTAGAAAGGAAGCTGTATTTAAGATACTAGGGGAAGTGAGTTAAACCAATCTTAAGTGTCTTTAAGAGGAATCTCAAGCTCATTTCAGGACTATACCACTATTATAAGTTTGTAAATTGGAGTTAAACAAAACTTTGTGGCCCTGTCCTTCACGTGCTCAGAGTTCTCACACTTTCATCATCCTGTTCTTCTGCAGCACCCTGGCAGAGCCCGCTGTACATGGGCAGTGGATCAGCTGGTTCAGTTTGGGCAGAAAAAGGGATTTTTTTTTTTTTTGTGAGGCATAAAATTGTTAAGAAGAAAGCAACACTACTCAGTCCTATGGCAAACTTTGGAAAAAACAATCAAAATAGTGTTACCATTACTTAGCACTGTTTTATGTAATGAAAATGATTGAATAAAGAACTCTTGTCAAATGGCAATATCTATTTTAAATAATTTTTTTGGAGGGAGTAATCATGTGGTGGGTGGGCGAGAGGTTTCTGGAGATAATTCAAGTAACTGAGGAATAACTAAGCACTTTCAAATGTGGTGAATCTACAGAATCATCAGAAGGGAGTTTCTCTCCCCCTCCCTCCCCGTCGCAGCCTCTTGCTGTACGTTGCCCTGTGCTCTGTACAGCAGTCGCTCTCCAGCAGCCCCTTGGGGTGGCCCGGCCTCGGCGCCTGCCCACGGCAGGACGTGGCAGCGCGGGCAGCCCGCGGCCTTGCAGGGTCTTGCTGTATCTGCTGCATCCCTGCCCCTGTAACGCCAAGCAGAAGATGTTGCTGCAGGATGTGCCCACTGAGTTCCTCCCCGAGCAGGAAACTGGAAGACAACCCGGGTTTCAAACGCGCCGAACGCGGCCGTGCGTGATGTGGATGACACGATCCTCCGGGCAGGGCCGCCTCAGTTATCTGGACAGCTCTCCGTATAATGAGGCCCCAGGCTGTTTTTGAAGCTAAATTGTAATGTGCAGTTATAACTAGACTCACTGTGATTTTCCGAGGGCAGTCATTAGAACAGAGGCCACTGAGAACTGTGGAAAAACAAAAATTTAGTTTACAATTTTTATACTAACAAGCCATTTTACAAGTACGACCTCTGAAATCGATTCAAGACTATTCAGTGTCATGTCGCCATTAACATACACACAAAAGTTACTGCTATACATCTCATGGCAAGGCATGAAAGAATTCCTGCTCTCTTTGAAGTACACGGCTTGGTTGGAATCAATCAGCTCCTCGTGCTTTACCACACCTATTTGGAACCAGCTTCAAAAGGGCAGATTTGCCACTTAAAGAAATTCTAAATTAAAACATATGTCAGAAATAATGCACCTTACACTTTATTCATTATCCTTCAAGTCTATCCATTAATGAACACTTGGTAGACATTCAGCTTTACTGTTTTAATTGATGAAAAGGTTAGCAATGGCTTTTTCTTATACAGAAGTTATAGCTTTAGAACTTGATATAAAGCAATTTTTAAAAGTTGTAATAAACTGTGGGAAAAAAGCATTATTTATTCTATAAATTCTAAACTATTAGCAGATGTGTATAATGGTGGTTAACACATACTGCCTATAACAGCTGTTTAATTGCACGTTTTAAAACGTAGTTTGAAAAAAACAAATTACAGAAATCTGTTAAATGCCTATTTATAATCAGCTAAATGAGGGCCTGTGAAACTCATTTATTCCATAAAGCAGGACACCCTGTTGCAGTAAAGAGTAAAATCAAAACATTAGTACTAAAATGCCTGAAAGAAAGAGAAAACAGGAGCGTGTCCGTTATGGCGCTTTCTTACAAGGTGCAGACACGCGGTGCCCAGAGCGGGGGCCGGACCGGCCGCTCGGCTCCCTCCTCCAGGCCCTGCTGCCGGGGACACGTGCAGGGCACGCGGGGCTCTGCTGCGGGGCAGCCCCTGCTGCGTCCCCGGGCAGCAGCCCCGGGAGCGGGAGCCCTCCAGCGCTGCCGGTGCAGCGGAACAACCGCCACGACTCTGCAGTTCTTGTTTGCAACTTCCAGATGCTGAGATTCCAACTACAGAAAAATCTAGTCGTTTTATAAAGCCCAGTGGTGTAGGCAGGTAAGGTAACGGGATGATGAAGCACCATCTGAGGACTACGTCTGTATCTACAAACGGAATTTTTTAGCCACCAGCTATGTCTTACATATTAGACAGAGGTGTGCATGACAGTGGACACAGAGCCTTCCCGTTTTAATGCAGAGCTGCACACTGCAATTTACTCCTCCATTTCAGTACTGGAACAAATATTCTGATCAAGTACATCTGACATTAGTTATAATGAACAAAGCCGCACTTATTGTCCATATGCCAAATAACTGGCAATGCATTTAATGACACACCAACTGGCAAAAAGCATGTCTCGCTGGAAATGATCTCCCCCTTATCACAGTAAAAAAATGTTTTAGGCCACTCATTAATTGCCATTTTCTGGGGTTTCTATACATGCCAAAATACTCAAATATTGCAAGGGTGCCAAAATGTTTGCTCTGATTTTCAAGTTACATGTACACTGAGCAAATGAAAAACTATGTTGCAACACCAACTGGCAAAAAGCATGTCTCGCTGGAAATGATCTCCCCCTTATCACAGTAAAAAAATGTTTTAGGCCACTCATTAATTGCCATTTTCTGGGGTTTCTATACATGCCAAAATACTCAAATATTGCAAGGGTGCCAAAATGTTTGCTCTGATTTTCAAGTTACATGTACACTGAGCAAATGAAAAACTATGTTGCAAATTGCACCTTTCCCTAAAATATCCCACAACAATCTAACATAGTGGGGTTTTTGTTTGTTGTTTTATTTTGTTTGTTTGTTTTTTTCCTGGAAGGTCTTCTGCACCCTCAGGTGAGCTACACTACTCAAATACAGAATTATTTAAAATGAGGCTTCCATCAACATGACAGACGGGTGCAGTCTATCAGGGAAGGAACAAAGCCCCGACTAAGGAGAAAGCAATAAATGTGTCAGCTCCCAGTAGTAGCTACAATTCTGTTTATCTTAAATGTGCAGAATATCAGCATAAAACAGATTATGTGCATACAACTAACATGAAAGCAAACACAACTTTCTAAGGTGAAAAACAGTTCATTTTTTCATCATGAGCTCACTTAAGCGTTTCATGTTCTACTACTCAAACTCAAGGAAGACAGACAGGCAAAGGGCTCAAGTTCAGCACCTTCGCACTCTGTCAGAGCACGGTAGGGCAAGTTCAAGACATAATTACCCCATCCCAAATATCATAATCTAACTTGAGCCTTGGATGCCAAGGCTGTAGTTAATTGGCACCCCTGTGCCATATTAATTGCCATTAAGAGCTTCTGCGGTAAGATGTGTTTTGTGCCATGCAGTGTTATAGGTTGAAAAGAACAAATTCACTCACACAGAGAAACAAAGTGGCTCTTGGAACAGATCATGGAGAATAAGCAAAATACGCACCACGCAAAAGGGCACTGAGATGGAACCAGCCTGTTTTGCACTAGATGACATTTCCGAATGATTAGGAAAAGAACTACAGTGAAGTAGGCTTGAGATGACAGACATGTGGGGAACTGACACAAGTGTCTGTCTGAAAAGAAACTACTGCAACTACTCACGGGGCAGATGAAAATAAGGTATTTGCCTGCTGTTTCTTGACTCTGTTGCTGAAAATAGGCAAGATTACAAGGCAGCCATTGGGGACAAAAAAAACCCCAAAACAAACAAACAAAAAAACCAAAAGAAACCTAAACATTTTCATTCAAGTCAATATTGCTGAAATTTCTTCTGGTTCCTTTTGGTATAATTACAGCATGTGTGTAAGCATGATTTTTTTTTCCTCCAATTAGCAATTAATGAGCTAATTAATGAACCAATTCCAAATATTCTCAGTCATGAAAAATCAAAAATGAACAAGTTGAAGGACAGGTACATATAGATATAATGGCATTTTTACACTGACAACATTTCCTTCATTTATCTCCTCACATAATATGCTGTGCAGAAGATTCACAGAATTGTATTAGGGGCTGAAGGGAGTCCATGCAGTGCAATGCCTTCTCTTAATAATTATTACAAACTCTGCATCCTTTCTGTATTTATAAGAATCTCAAACATGGTTAACTCTGCAGCTTCTCCAGGAAATTTATGTTTGTACTTCATACTCCATCCTTTAAGATGTCATTCTTACTATTTACTGTAGGTAGTTCAACTCTTACTTTCTCTCCTCTCCTGCAGGGGTATGCAACACACCTCCCTTACCTCTGCAGAAAATCATTGTGTCCTGAGGACTTGGAGCTTCCATACGTTTCTCTTTTAGGCTGAATAACTGTTACATTGCTCTCTCCTTATAGCTCATATTTTTAGACACTCAATAATTCTCGTTTTTCCCTGCAGAAGCCAGCTGAGAAATGAGTTCTTGAGACCTAATATCTGCCTTTGGAGTTTTGCTAGGACGCTGACAGGGAGAAGGAAAGCTCCAGCATGAAAGCAAAGATTTAATTGCCTCTAGTTAGCAGTGAAAGGCGACACGCCTTCTTGCAAAATCAAAACCACACGGAGATGATAAACACTTATTAAAAAGATGTTGTGGTCAAAACTGACATTACAAACAAGTAGAATATTGAAAATAGTTGGCAGAATTACTCTGAATTTAAGTACACTAAAATAAAACTCCACAGGAAACCTTTGAAAACCAAAATGACTTTGAAAACAAAAAAGATGATATATAACGTTGCAGATTTCTGCAGTCTCTAAGGTCTCCATGATGCTTTTTCTTATCTAGCATTATCACACACACGGCATTATTAGGTCTTCTCATACACAGAACATCAAATATTCACATTCCTTTTAAAGTCTTATTTTGATTTGATTTTATGGTGAGCACTTACCAATAACTTTAACAAAATAGGCGTCTGCTTCAAAGTTGTTTTTTAATGTATGGATAGCAAAATCCTTGTTTAAGTTGCCTTTGCTTAGTACAATGATATCCAAGATCCCCTGCGGGTGAGGAAGAGGAAAAAAAAAAAAAAGTTCAAGAGGGAGTACAATTGAAAAGTACAGGGACCCAGGTGGGCTGCAGCAGCAAGAGCTCGACTTACATCTTCGTATATGTCAAAGAAGGTTGCTACCACCGCGTCCTTGATTTGATTGAGATCCGAGAGCTCCCAGTAAACTTTAAACATGCGCCGTACGCTCTTGCAGCTCGCATTATTGCATGGGACGTTTTCAAGTAAAAATGCTTGCTGGTTGCTGGAAAATAAATATGTAAAGCAACAGATAACATTATTTCTTTTAAGAAGTCTAGGTAAAAGGAATTATAAAAATATTATAAATAAATAATTTAAGCCTACTGAAGCTAAATATCGTATAAAAAGGGCTAGCAGCCACCAGATACTTTAAATCCGTGAGCACTTGCATTAATTTCACAGGAAGAATTACAGCCAGTATGTAACACTTGATTTAAACCAAAAAGTAC